TTTTTGCATTTGTGACATTTCTTGCACCTTAGTGATATGAAGCAAATTCCTGATGGCGCTATAGAAATCATTTGGAAACCCAGGAAGAAGATGATATGAACCCTGGAGCACTGAGCATGAGTATAGCTCACTGCTATGGTTTCATATGAAATGTCCCTCACAGGCTCATATATCTGAACATTTGGACCCAAGCTGTTGGCTGGTAGTGATGTTATTTGGGCCGGGGATGGGGGTAGGGAGTGGAATTGTGGAACCTTTAGGAGGTTGTGGTGGTTTGAATAAGAATGATCTCCATAGGTTCATATATTTGAATGCTTAGCAAGTGGCACTATTTGAAAGGATTAGGAGGTGTGGCCTCGTTGGAGGAAGTATGTTACTGGGAGTGGGCTTTGAAGTTTCAAAAACCCAAACCAGGCCATCTTCCTGTTGCCTGAGGATCCAGATGTAGTATTCTCTTATATTTTTGGTTGTGAGCCTAGCCTTTAATGGCTGAGCCATCTCTCCAGCCCCAGATGTAGTATTCTCAACTACTTCTCCAGCACCATGTCTGCCTGCATGCTGCCATGCTTTCCACCATGATGATAATGGACTAAACCTTTGAAACTGTAAGGCAGCCCCAGTGAAATGCTTTTTTTATGAGAGTTGCCATGGTCATGATGTCTTTTCACAGCAGTGGAATAAAATAGTAGAATAGGTGGAGCCTAGCCAGAGGAAACGAATCTGGTGTTGGGTGGATGTTACCAGAGGCAGGGGTTGGGGAGTAGATAACACAGGGTTCTGACGGAATGCTCTTTGTTTCCAGTCTACTGCTAAGATGTAACAAGCCACTCTGTGACCTTGGTCCACTGTGTCTTCCCCATAAGGAGGGAATGAAATCCCTAAAATCATGAAACAGAATACACTCTTCCTCTCTTCTGCTGCCTCTGTGGAGTATTTTGCCACCATGAGAAGAGAAATAGCCAACACAATCATGTACCACAGAAGAGAAGAGAGCCTGGCTTGGTCTCCCGGCAACACTCTCACGGTGCTTATGGATCACTGAGAAAAGTCAGCCAGAGGTCCAGAGAAGGAAGGCAGAGAGTTGGTGATATTTTATAGCTGAGTTGATTTTGCCAAGGGGGGAGGTGCTCAACAGTTAAAAGCCACAGAGATCCCAGTAAGATGGGAACTTGTAAGTTTCTACTGGCTGTGACAACCCAGGCATTCATGCTGTCATGGGGCATGGGCAGGTGGCTGTGGAGAGAGGATGAGAGTAAGGACATGTGACCCTCACGGCTCTGAACTTGCCAACTCCATTTGCTGAAGAGTCAGAGGCCACTGGACAAGATACTGAATTCTAGAGGAGAATTCTTCCATGGACAGGCAACTAGCCCATCGTTGACAGGGGGAACAGATGAACTCAACGTGGGGTTTGCGGCTTAGAGAAATGGCCAGCTGGCTATTCACCTGCCCTAGGTAATAGTGTCCCCTCCTGGAAGATGAGTCCAGGGCTCAAAAACTAGGGGAAAGTTTACACAGAGCAATGATAAATTTACTAGAACTTAAAGATTTGTTCACATGTTCAAGCCAGCATGGAGACACACACCTTTAATCTCAATACCAACCATAGAAGACCTGGAGGTCTGTATAGACAGGCAGTGACGAGGAGGTCATGTGGTTGGGTATACAACCAATGAGAAGGCAGAACAGAAAGTCAATAAAAAGACAGATACACAGGAAGTAGGGCTGTTTCTGAGGGGAAGGACAATAGCAGCAGTGAAGGGTAAGAAAGGCTGTTTTAAGTCTCAGCTCTCAGCTACTGCTCTGACCTCTTGGGCTTTTAACTCTGTTTGGCTCTGTGTTTCTTATTTAATAAGACGGTTACAGACTGTTTGTTTGGCGAAGTGATACAGAGACGAAGGAACTGGATAATCTCTTTGTGACACTTGTTTGTCTACCATCCCATTTAATTTTATAGCACGCAGGAGAGATACACACACACACACACTATACATATGAGGAAATAGAGGGATTGGCTTGCCCAAGATCACATAGCTAAGTGAGTGGCAGAGCTGGAATTTGTATCTCCAGGTACTCCAGGTCCAACCCCTCTCTACAACAGTGTAAATAGGAGGAGCTCCTCAAGGCACAGGTGTGGCCTCCACCTCTGAGACTCAGGTTTGGGTAGAGAAGTCATCCGGTGATGTCCACATCTCAGGTCCTCCTCGAAGGAGCTGAACTGGAAAGAATCAAAGATCGGGTCAGGCCTTCACCTTACTGGGAGGTCTTCTTTAACAAAGCTTTCTTTCTGGGTGTTCCAGGACCAATCATCTAGTATACGGCCCTCCCCGTTCTCTGGGCAGATGTGCTGTAAGATCGCGATGTTGTTTACTTCCTGGGCCGAGCTGCAGCTTTTCCAAATGACAGGAAGTGAGGACCATTGCAGAGGAGGTAGGGAATGAATGGCATGTGCCTTTTAAAGTCGTTGACCCAGATCAAGGAGACGTGGAGGCGTTCTGAAAGACAGCTTTGTCATGGCTTGAGAGGGCTTCCTGGAAACCATCCATCTGCAGGTGAGGGAGGGGCCTCCTCCAAGGTTCTGGAAATTGCCAAATCGTCATGTGACACTCCCAGGGTTGTGCCCAGCTATCTCTGGGGAGTTGTTCCAAGCCTCCTACCCTGGAAAGATACACAGAGCCAGATGGCAGACCCTACTAAAGTCACAAGTAAGAGGGGCTTCCCGTGGCTTTGGGAATCTGCCGTGTGCAGAGCGCAGGCAAACAGGATTCGGTCCGGACTCAGGATTCAAAGTCCAGCTCTGGCCCTTGAGTGCCGTGTGGTTGGGGGGTGCACTTCGCTCAGCCAAGCCTTTGTGTTCTTGTTTACAGAATAGAGGGTAGCTGCCACGTGTGCCCTGTGGAACTGCGGGCTTACAGGAATAATGGATGTCAGGTGCTCAGCATGGCATCTGACACAGGCAGATGCTGAATTATTGTCCCTGTCCTCCTCATTGTCATTGCTAGGAGCATGTGCAGCTCCTCATGTCCTCCCAATTGCATCAGAACAAAGGCGAGCAATTATGAGAAACAACGGCCCCTGGGAATCTAATCAAACCCCAGAGGCAGCCAGATCCCCAGCCAGGCTGGAAGTGGCTGCTCTCCACAGAGCCGTCACCTGCCCTGCTCCCAACGACAGCTCAAGGGGTTTCTCATTTGCATGCCAGAGAAATTCCATGGAATCTCAACCACTAACGGAGGTGGCCAAACCAAAGGAATCTGGGAAGCTGGGACAGTATTCCTGTATCTGCCCCTTACATGCCACTGCATGCCTCCCCAGAGATTCTGAACTGATTTGGGAAATCCCAATACCCCCTTTCTGTAAGATTTTTAGCCTTTAGAGACGTCTAAAGAAATGTATTTTCCATTTCCTTTGTAGTCTGATTTTTTTTTCCTATACTATTTCCATGCCCTTCCCTGCCTGCCAATCAGCTTATAATTTGAAAAGTCTGGCATCCCCTGGAAAGAGCTGGTTATGTGAAGAAAGATGAACAGAAGCGGTCAAAGTCCTGTTACTCCACCCCGGCTTTGGCTTCTAGAGTCACAGCGAGCTTCTTCTGGTGGACAGAGATGCCTGGCTGTCCTCTCTTATGGGTGTGAGGCAAAGGCTATAATTCCTGGCCCCACAGCCTTTGAGTGGCACCATGTGATATGCTCACATGTATCACATTTGAGCTGGGCATTTAAGAAATGGGTGTGTCATCTACACATTCTCCTTTTGGTCAAAAGCAGACAATATGGCCATGACAGTTGTCACACGATGGAGAGACACAGGCCCTGGAAGCCCCACAGGAAAGAAAGCCTCCTCCAGCTGATGGAACACTCTCAGGGGACTGTTAACGGATGAGACCTAGACGCTGATTGAGTTAAACCATGGAAATCGTAGCCACCATTAGAGCGATGATACTGTGACCGGGAATAGTAGCCACATCCCCCACATCCCCCACATCCCCCACATCTCTCACAT